ACCGAGAGTTACATATAGATTATCTGTAAAGTGCCACCCTCAGTAATGAAAGATTGTAAATAGAATGGGAAAAGTGGTAAGTTTTTTTAGCTCCATGAAGAAATGGGGAAAAACGCTTTTTGTATCTTATCACGAGCGTGGGTTTTTTTAACAATGCTGAGTCCCAGGCCCTCAGTCCTTCGGAATCCGCGCTTTGATGCTCTTTTTTTTAGTCACAGTGACTCTACGATGACCATTAGGCCCATTACGAAGTTCATTTATGACTTTTTTTCTACATACTGCTGGGATCGGCAACGTCGATAGCATCATGTTTTGTAAGAAAGACTTTTTTTGGATCAATTCTTGTTTATTTTCTAAAGAACTGCCTTGGACATTCCAGGAGCGAATTTTTTTACATTTTTGTCGTGTATCTTGTATTGAACAATTTTTGAGCTGTGCTTAGTGTTCTTTTTTTCTCTTCTAGTTATGGTTAACTGAAAACAAGAAAATAAAAAAAAATTCAACTTTCTTTTTTTGTTGTGATCTACCTACAATTTAAGAAGGAGAATTTACCGTTTGACTCCCAAGATTTTTTTTTTAATTCTCCCCTCTAGCCGTTACATATTTCCTTGTAAATAAGTTGCCAGAATTTAGTGTAAATCAAGAAAACAACTTCTACCTGATATGAGTATTCTCATTACCTGTTTGCAGGTTTTTTTATGAATATTGTAGGGAGAACTTACATGTTGATCACTTCTGGGAGTCAAAGGATTTTTTTTTGAAGCCAGACCTATTTATATTCCGCTGGGGAAACACAGTGGATTATCTTCTTTATTTTTTTAAAATACTTCATAATTGGCCTATCCAGCACCTGTGATTACATTAGTATTAGTATTTTTTTTTTATTTATTTGTTTAAGCAGGTTGATTAATTGCCAGCTTAGCTGATGTAGACCTTTTTTTTTAACTCACCCATTCCATCCCAGGGGAGGACATCCATCACACAGTAATCTCGTGCTTTTTTTTCAACGNACTAGAGTCCTCCAGTGCCGCCAAATACAGGATTCAAATATCTTGAAATGGTACTTTGTGACATTACATACCACAGTTGGCAAGTGACACATCAGAACAGCACAGTAGTGTATGAAATTGGTGATTTGCTGAAGATGAACTCCAATGGAGAGAAGACCTGTTAGATCATCAATCAGAAGCAAACAGGGCTTTGTTTCATCACCCAAAGATGACTTGATTCTGTTGTATAATGGCTGAAGAGTAAATGTTTGGGCTCTATGGAAACAAATTAAAAATGAAATTTGTTTTTAACCTTCAATTAACAAAAAACATTTTAGAAAGTGGTTGGCCATGTATTGTTAGAATTGGAACTCCACAGTCCATAGTAAAAAATGTATGTCTACAGTGGCAGACGAGAAATAAGGTTGTTTCTACCTTTCTTGTTAGGAGCATTTTAACAGATTTCCTTGCATAGTTTGTTTATCTATAATGGCTTCAGGAAAATAGGAGTTGATGCTACCCTTCCTGCTAAGAGCATATTTCTTGGTTTCCTGGAAAAGTTTGTCCATCTATACTTCTGAGACTAATGTGGGAGAATCAGCCATTACCACACCTTTTGATCAGGAAGTCAGGAAATTGCTCTCTTTTCCTATGCATTAGGGGTAATCTTATCTTTATGGTATAATACTCCAAACATCGGTGACTAATTAATTCAGGAAATGCAATGAAATTGTCACTTAGGGCAAACACTCTATTAGATTTCTAGGGTCCAGGCTATGGACAAAATTACCCAAGAGTATAAGGGAGGTCGAGACCCTCAAGTTGTTCAAAGGCAAGATATGCCAACTCAGTAGAAGTATGCTCTTGGATGATGGCTGCACATGCTGTAGCCTCTACTCCTCTTGAATTTTTATATTTTTATTACAAATCCCGTAACTAGTTAACCATAGATTTTCTCTTAGTTTTAATATATATACTACAACTGTAAATAGCTCCTAATCTTTTTTCTTTTTTAGTGTCCCCAAATTAGTAAGGGATTTTTCCCTAGCTAGACAGCTCTTGACACTTAATAAAGTTTTACTACTACTGCTACTACTACTACTACTACTACTACTACTACTAATTCCATTTTTGAAAAGAACTGAATTAAGTTATTCTGTTTGTAAACTACTCAAGAGAGCAGATACACTTATCACCTAGACTGAGGGCAATATTGCAATGCGAGAGCCACCCTCTTCTGTCTAATTTACAAGACAAGAATTACTAATTGGATAGTGGGAGTTGAACCCGGTTAACCTACATTATAATTTCTCTACTCATTTTTTTGTTTTGTACTTCAGTTTAGATGATCAGGTGCATTGACTGACAATCCAGATACAGGAGCAACTTTGGAATTTTGCGACCAGTCATCAGAGCAGCTCCTGATTAAAATTTTTTGGAAAGACCTCAAATACGTTTTGAAACCTTTTACAGTGGAGAAGGAAATTGGACACTCTACATAATTCAGAATTAACTGCAAAAAGACTTACCTGACATTTATAAAAGGGTTGCTTCTATCTGAATTTTTGTTTCCTAATGTACTACTTTGTGAGTTTTTGAAGGTATCTTGCTGCCTTTCATCAGCTAAAGCTTCTGATATACAGCTTAAGCCATCTATATATGTCACCTGGCCACTTTCACAGATACTGCTCAGGTTTATACCCTGAATAATGAAGTTTAAAAAGAAGACAATTAAAAGTGGGTTAGGAATTGCTAAATAAATTTAGATGTTTTAAGTCATTCAATTTCTGGTGAAAGAAGCTGAGAAGGTGAGGAGAGGAGAACCCTCTTTTGATCAAAAATGAAAGAAATGGAAGAAATAGAAGAAATGAAAGAAATGAAATGGAAGAAATGAAAGAAATGGAAGAAATGGAAGAAATGAAGGAAATGAAAAAAAAAGGAAGATATGAAAGAAATGGAAGAAATGAAAGAAGTGAAAAAAAAAAAAAGAAAGAATGATTCATACACACTCATAACTGGTAGCCAGTGAGTTAGACACTGGTAGGTACTAACTAGATGTATATGCAAAAAAAAACAATGCCAAATACATGCTCATAATTATGAAAAGGATGATAAAAATCCTGATGTAAACTTGTTCCTTCACAAGTGACTGAGGATAGGGGTCTTCACAAGTGACTGAGGATAGGGGTCTTCACAAGTGACTGAGGATAGGGGTCTTCACAAGTGACTGAGGATAGGGGTCTTCACAAGTGACTGAGGATAGGGGTCTTCACAAGTGACTGAGGATAGGGGTCTTCACAAGTGACTGAGGATAGGGGTCTTCACAAGTGACTGAGGATAGGGGTCTTCACAAGTGACTGAGGATAGGGGTCTTCACAAGTGACTGAGGATAGGGGTCTTCACAAGTGACTGAGGATAGGGGTCTTCACAAGTGACAGGTCCTACTTTGGTGACTTTCTAGAGCATGGGAGCGATTCAAGCGAGGATCCTATGATAAAAAAAATTTGAAATTTATCATAATGATTGATCACAGACACCTTTACACCTCTTGTTCATGAAGTGCGCTCTTTTTTAAGGAAATTTGAAGGCAGTATCATGCAGAATAAGCAGTCTGGGCTAGTGTAGAATGTGTATCATTAACAGTTGCAGATCAGTAATCATAGACTTCTGCCTAATTAACTCCACACACCTTTAATATATAAGGATAAGAAGTGATGAATGAGAAAGCTTCCATCATTTTGACAATCTGTTATCAGCAAGAACTTTCTCTGTAGACCATAAATCATAAGAATTCTGTAAAACATTAGAATTGTAGTAACAGTATTTCAATCAATTCCGTGTTTTTTCATTTAATACATCCTTTTTTTACCTAACACCATTGTCAAATATGATATCATGGGGTCCCCACTGATCGTGCTTTTGAAGAGGGACAGCAGGGGGGGTGGGATAGGGGGATATGAAGGGTTCCTTAAAAATCAACAGTATGAAGTTGACCACACCACAGGTGTGATGTATAATAGAGTCCAAACTAACTTTGATTAATAGCTAGCGACAACTTAGCCTCTAATTGATGTTCTCTTCACAAGATTTTATATTCTATTGCACTGGGATACAAAATCATTTTCCTTCAAACTACCTCATCTTTTTTTATCTGGGTTATGGCTCAAGCATACACCTCCTTGGTAAGACCTAAGAGTTAAGGCTCAAGCATTCAGACCTATTTTAGAATATGGAAGTACCGCATGGGATCCTTACAGGGTGTACCAAAATAAATGGCTCAAACAAGTACAGCAACGTGCTGCATGTTTTGCTACTAAAACATATTCAAGACAGGAAGGCTGAGTTACCCAAGCATTATACCATCTTAACTGGCCAACATTAGAGCACAGAAGGAAAGTGAACTTTAATGTACAAGACACTACATGGCCAAGAAGCAATCAATATACCACCTTATGTGAAACATAAAACTGTAATGAAAACTAGAAGCTTTGATCCAATGAAGTTTATTTCACTAGAAACATCATGTGATGAGTATAAATACAGTTTTTTGGCCTAGAACAATTGATGAGTGGAAAAGAGTTTACCATCAAATATCGTAAGTATGACCTCACCAAGTAACTTTAAAGTGGCTGTAGATAATTATCTCTCTGCTTAAGTTTTAGCTCTATCAATCTCTATTTATTTTAGAATTACTGTGTCGAAATTATTTGTTACTTAGCTGCACTACACATTTATTCATTCTTATCTTTGCACTTTGCACTTTGCACTGGAATTTGCTGTATGTCGATCCTCATAGGATTTTGCAAATAAATTATGTAGATGTAGATGTCTGTTAGATTGTATAGCGAGTTCTGACAGGCTACTGAGGTAGGAAATACTTCTTCCAATTCCCTAATTTGCTAATATTTCTACCTCTGGCTTAGTATTTACCCCAACCCTTATTACTGCAGAAATCCCAGGGATTGTACGATCGAGACCCACGATGAAGCCAAACACCTATCTTTATCCTGAAGATTATACTTCCCTACTTCTGAGGTATCCGTGGTTTGTCACTGAAATTCACTTTGTAACATTTTATTCCACAAAATCTACAGGTTTTTAACTTGAAATTATTAATCTAAGGTTTACAAACATGAAAATTGATTTCTCAAACAGAGCGTAACCGTGTGTCTACATCCCCACGGTGGTGTTGGAGCTGATAAATACGATTTCATTAACAACAAAAAATAAACAAATCTATGAGAACTGGAAAATCACTGCTTCATTACACTCTTTGTTTACCTTCTTACCTTTGGTGGAGACTTTTCGCTGAAATCTGTCAAAGAATTTAAATTTCCAAACATGATTGGAAATCGAGCAATTTTGAGTCCTGATGCTACGCTATGTAATACCAATTGAATTGTCCTTTTTCACCCTGTATATGCAATGAAAGTCTTGCTTTCCAGTTGAAAATTATCGGACAATATTCAGATCTGCAACTTCAGAATACCCGTCCACATCATTTACATGTGTCGGGAGGCTTTGAAGAATGAGGCATAACACAATAGATGCTATTCTTATTCAATGACATGTAAATAAGTGGCCGGGTATTCTGAAGTTTAGCCCTTTTTTCAATCAGTTATTCTTGAAAAGGGCGAGAACTGGCCATAAGCAGTATTCTACAATTGGTAGATGAAGGTTCTTATAGGCACCGAGTGCAGAGAAATTGTAAAATTTGTCAGAGTTGACAGTTGGTGAAACCATACAGTTGCAGCACGATCCAATCTTGTTGATTGGACGTAGGTTGATGCGCTTTTTTTCAAAGTCTGTTGCACCACTCGATCAGTCTTGTACTCCTTGTGGACCTTTTCAAAATGACAAGAAGTTGTTGATTATTTTTTAGGGATCGAGGCAATGTGCAGGAAGTACTTAGAGCCCAATGTATAGTTAAAGTCTTCCCTTCCAATTGCCATAAACTGTAACTACTAACAGTCAAAAATCAGGACGTCAACTATCAAATCAAAGCTTACCCGGCTAATTCTGACTCCACTCACTCCATATAGAAGTACTCAATATACGTCTTGTTATAAATGCATTTACTGACGAACTCTCACAAAATTTTGTCTAATGCAACAAATTAAAGTAAAATAAGACGGAAAGTTGCTTAAATGTAGATGTTACATGCGTGTTTCGGTTTAGTATAGCGTGTGCGCACAGACATCACGCAAAGTTGGTCTCGCATCAAGCCATCTTCGAGCCGTGAGTGTTTGCCTGGCCGGATTATTCACTAACAAATCAGATTTTGTGACGGTTCGACGCGCATTCTTAACTTTAGTTTGCGGAAAGGCCTTCATCATAAGGGCTCTGCACGAGCGTTTATTCGAAGAAGTTTTGAACAACGACAGCCGCTGCTACAGGGTCTGATCGTGTTAGACCTCACTCCTGGTCGTTTTGTTCATGGCCAAAAAAACGCTCGGGCCAGAGCGGACTATCTTTTCAGAAAGTTTTGATGAGACCCTGTGGGCATCATGTGATCATGCGATCAACAGAAGCAAAACTCATTTGCTTTTGCTTTCGATTTCCACCCCGGGTAAAACGTAAGCACGATTTTACTTCAGTCTTTGAAAATAATTCCAAAGAGCAGTTATTGCGTGATACACTTACAGAAACGTTTGACAAGTGAGTTATGATAAATTCATAGTTTATATTAACTACAGTCGGAGGGTTGTTTTGCTTTAGAATTCAGGGAATACATGCATCATTGCTCAGGGAATATCTGCGGTCGCAGGAAGAAATTTTGCGAATTCAAAAGAAAGTTTTAAATTTCTGACGTCCATCTTCGACTATGTCTACGCAAGAGGAAGTCTTTCTTACGGAAATCACCAGAAGAGAGTTAGAAGAAAAATAATATAATGTTGACAACTGACATTTTTAAGTCAATAAACAATGATGAACCACCGGACTTAATTCCGGATGTTAAGAAGACGTTAATGAACTTGTGCGCATGCGACTACGTAGGCCAATAATATCGTAAGCAAATCACGCGGACTTTTAAATTTTGATGTGTGCGACTTTTTAGAGGGAGTTGAAAAGTTTTTAGTTTATGGAGTAGCAGGTTTGTTTAATGGTCGTTGTCGTTTACCGTGAGTCTAACAGTTTACTATGTTGGAATTAAAGTGTTTGTTTGGATTTCCCGTTTCGCTTCCGAAAATTTTTGGCGACCACGATGGGAGCAAGGTGTGAGCTGTGTTCCAAGGTAGGAGGGTGTTCCACGCAAAGCGCCAATATTTTAAGCCGCCAAGGTCTCGTTTAGGGTTCCGCGAAAAAATACAGAATTACGCGAAGAGAAACAGAAGTAAAACTTTCTTTTTAACTCGTTTTGTTTACCGCATTACCTCAACATTAACTAGTCTTCTATTTTACCAAGTGCCAAAGAGACAATGCATGAACATGAGCGGTCTCTTTTAGGGGTCAAAATTTGCTTAAGCCACTCCCAGATGGTCTCCTTTAGGGGTTAAATTTAAAATTTCTGACGAGCATCCCCGTTTGTTTCATATGGGAGTCCTCCACGGGCCTTATCCGTGACACTGTACCCTACCGATTGCAATTCGCTCGATGGGAAAGCCATTGCCTAACACACAACAGCTCAAGGTGTCTTTCACCTTTTTACGAGGCTAGTAGCGAACGGATTCGGATTTAACAATTTTTTTTTAACGGACTGACGGATTTGGTTATCAAATCGTAGCGGATCGGCGGATTTGCATACCCCTATTCACCCCCCTCATCCTGATTAGAACATAAAACCCTAATAGTGTACGTGCAAATTTCTCAATCTAGTAGAAGGAACATGTTTTATTTCACATCCTTTGCCCTGGTCTGGACTTAGTGTAGTTATACTTTCTAAGGATGACTCCTGTAATATGTTTCAAATAATTTTAAGGATGTTTCTTCAGGTTTTATGTCCCCACTACTAACATGTACGTGTACATCTTTAAAATAACCACTAGTGAGCCCTTTGACTTGAAACTCAATATTGACTAGGTGACACAGCTGTATCCATAGCAACTGGGATTCTTCATCATCAGCATCATTGTCATTATGTACAAATGTCACCAGGCAACCATCTGACTGAAGATGAAGTAGCATTCAAATTTTTACCATAACATTGAATGTGATGCAAGTCTTGACATGCAGACTTTTAATTAAAAGTAAATCAGCACTGAGTTTACTACCAATTCCACCCAATTCTCCTTCTTCCCAACTGGATTAGGGATGAAAGGTGAGGAATCTGAAAAGCTAGAGAGAGAAGACTTTTGCACACCATGTAGGCTTGTTCAAGTTTCCCAAAATTTTCTTTGCCGGTGTAGTATATGTTCCTTAGCACAAGCAGACCTCAATCTAATTACAATCTGTCATGATGTGTCATGTGACCAAGGCAGGTTCTGATGTTGTTATTTAAACAACAAGACAGACTTATAGCCACAATAAAATTTATTTATACAGGAAAGTACAAAAGAAATAATACTGATAAAAANCTCTGAACTACTGAGTTAAACTAACTAACTGTACTTCTTTTATAAGGAATCGAGCAATAGCAGGAAATTCTCTAGAATTTTGGAAGTTAGGTGTGATCATTCTAAAGGAAATTTATGATGCAAATCCTGTGTGTATGATAGTTTGGTTATCATAGGAAATAGTTTGGTGTGATGGTGCGACTTACAGGAAATTTATGATGCAAATCCTGTGTGTATGATAATTTGGTTATCATTGGAAATAGTTTCTGAAGATGTAATTCTGAAATTATAACAAAAAATATTGCAATGTCATGCACAATTGTGAGCCTGGTCACAGTCTGCAGTCAATTCTTGATACCAGACTGCCTAACCATTAGTTAACCCTTTAACTCTGATGAGTGAGTACAATATCAATACTATATCCAAGCACACAACTGATGGGAAAAAAGAACTTAAAATATCAATAAGGGTATTATTATCTGACCCACTAACAAATTCTCTGAATTGACATCATAAGAGTTGTACAACAGACAGTAAGGAGAATATTAATAAGATCTTGGGAGTGAAAAGTTTGAAAAAAGAAAACCTTAACAAGGAGAAGTTTTTGAATTCATAAAGAATTCATTTGACCAGAGTACTCCAGTGCTTCCAAACACAGGTTTCAAATATCTTGAAATGGTACTTTGTGACATTACGCACCACAGTTGGAGAGTGACACATCAGAACAGCACAGTAGTGTTTGAAATTGGCGATTTGCTGAACATGAACTCCAATAGAGAGAAGAACCGTTACCTCATCAATGAGAAGCAAACAGGGCTTTGTTTCATCACCGAAAGTTGACTTGATTCTGTTGTATAATGGCTGAAGAGTTAATGATGGGGGGTTCTACAAAAACAATTGAAAAATGATATTTGTTTTCAACCTTCAGCTGACAAAATTTTAGAAAGTAGTTTACCATTTATTGGTAGAATTGGAACTCCATAGTAAAATAAACATGTACCTGTATGTCTACAGTGGCATGAGGGAAATAAGGTTGTTCCCTGCACCCTTCTAATGTTAAGGGCATTTTTACAGATTTTCTTGAACAGTTTGTTCATTCATAGTGGCTTAAGGAAAATAACACTGAGTTAATAGTACTCTTCTTGCTAAGAGCAATTTCCAGGTTTCCTTAAAAAGTTTGTTTATCATTCTATACTTCTAAGAATAACATGGGAGCATCACAAAGGAACTGTGAAAGTTTTTTGACTAACATTCCAGCCACAGCACAAAACCCACACCTTTTGATCAGGAATTCGGGAACTTGCTCTCCTTTCCTGTGCAATAGGGGTAATCTTATCTTTACAGTGTAATACTCCTCACACCAGTGACTAATTAATTCAGCATTATGCAATTCAGTTTTAAAAAGAACTGAATTAAGTTATTTTAGCTGTAAACTGCTCAAAGAGAACAGATAAGCTTATCACCTAGAGGGCAATATTGTGATGCACTAGAGCCACGTAGTCTGCAATGTAATTTACAAGGCAAAGTATTACAGTAGGTAGGGAGAATTACTAGTTGGATCTTGGGAGTTGAAGAGTTAACTTACATGTAGA